CCCCCCCCCGAGCCCGCAGCACCCATGGAGCTGGAGCCGGGACCCGAGGCGCTGCTGGACCTCAGCTTCCTGACCGAGGCGGAGCGCTGCGCCATCGCCGAGGTGCTGCACCGCGATGCTCTGCTGCGCCGCGCAGAGGAGGGTCGAGTGAGGTGGGACCCCCAGGGCCACCCGTGGGCAGCGACAGACGCGGGGTCAGCCCGGGGGGGGTGGGGGTCTCGAACACAGTGGGAGATGGCTGCTGTCCCCAGCCTGGGCCACCTCCCCCAGCCTGATCTATGTCCCCTCAACCTCGTCTGTATCCCCAGCACGATCCACGTCCCCAGCTTGGTCCCTGTGTCCAAGTCTGATCTGTGTGTCCCCAACCTGATCCGTGTCCCCTGCCTGGTCTATGATGTCCCTTCAACCTCACCTCCCCCGTTCTGATCTGTCACCGACTTTTGTCCCCCACCTGGTCCACGTCCCAAACTTTATGTCCCAACATGGTCTGTGTCCCTTCACCCTCATCTGTCTGATCTCTGTCCCCAGCCTGATTAATGTCCCCCACCCATGCCATGTCCCAACCTGGTCTCTGTCCCCTAAACCTCATCCCTTCCCTCCCCACCTCCAGTCTGATCCATGTCCCCAACCTGGTCTGTGTCCCCAATCTCATCCATGTTCCTGACCTGATCTGTGACCCCAACATGATCTGTGTCCCCTCAACCTGGTCCATGACGTCTCCTCAACCTCATCCATGTTCCCCCAGTCTATGTTCCCACCCTGCTCTATGTCCCCTCATCTGCGTCCCCTCCCCAGTCTGCTCCGTGTCCCCAACCTGATCTGTGTCCCATCAACCAGGTCTGTGTCCCCCACTTGATCCACGTTCCCCACCTTGGTCTGTGTCCCCAACCTGACCCGTGTCCCCAGCCTGGTCCTGGTCCACGTCCCCTCAACCTCATCTGTGCCCCCCAATCTCATCTGCGTCCCCCACCCGGACCGTGTCCCCAACCTGATCTGTGTCCCCATCCCGATCCCTGCCCCCTTCCCTCCGCCGCCATGTGGGGCTGTGATGGACGAGGGGCGGCAGAGCGCGGGTTCCCCAGCGGCACCCAGAGCTGAGCGCCGCTCCCACGGCCGAGCAGCAAACTGCGCCAGTCCGTGTCGGACCCGATGCGCCTGCGGACCCTGACAGGGGAATGGTTCTGCCACGTCCGCGCCCAGCGCCACCGGAACCTGCTGGGATCCGACCTGGTCCGTGCGTCCATCCGGCGCAGGAGGCGGCCGTGGGGTATGGAGGGTGGGGAGGGGAGGGAGGGAGGGAATGGGGGATGGAGGGATGGATGGGGAAATGGAGGGATGGAGGGATGGATGGATGGATGGATGGAGGGATGGAGGGATGGAGGGATGGATGGATGGATGGATGGATGGATGGATGGAGGGATGGAGGGATGGAGGGATGGAGGGATGGATGGAGGGATGGAGGGATGGAGGGATGGATGGAGGGATGGAGGGATGGAGGGATGGATGGAGGGATGGAGGGATGGATGGATGGATGGAGGGATGGATGGAGGGATGGATGGAGGGATGGAGGGATGGATGGAGGGATGGGTGGAAGGATGGAATGGGGGATGGACGGATGAGTGCGGAAATGGAGGGATGGAGGCATGGATGGGGGATTGATGGATGGATGGGTGAAGGGACGGATGGATGGTGGGCAGGCAGATGGGTGGATGGGTGGGTGGCTACACGGCTGTCAGCCCACTGAGGTCCCCGCTGTCCCCAGGAGCAGCAGAGCTGGAGCGCAGGCTCAGCCAGGGTGAGCTGGAGGCCATCAGGGAGAAACTGCTGGAGGAGAAGGAGGATGAGGAGGGAGTGCGGGAGGAGAGGTGAGGTGAGGGCGGGCAGGGGGCTGCAGCCCAGTGCTGCTCCAGGGCAGCACCAAGATCTGCTGACCGCTTCTCCTCGCAGCCCCAGTGAGGATGGAGTCCTGGCAGCCACAGAGCCTCAGGTGGGTGCTGGGCTGGCACGCAGCGCTGTGCTGCTGGGCTCCACCTCACCCCCTGTGCCACCCACAGCCCAAAGCCACTGCCCCGGAAGGGACCACGGTGTCACCATCTCTGCAGCAGGGTGATGTCCCAGCAGGGGGACGGGACGGCTGCAGACAGCCAGGTGATGTGGGGCAGCAGGGAAAACCGATGGGGATTCAGGGAAAAATGGGACTTCCCTCTTCCTATATCCATTCCTTGCTGTGTTGGGACCCCCACCCACATGGTGCCCTCGCAGGTGACAGAACGGATGGGAGCCCCTTTGGCACCTCCAGTGTGGAGGAGGAGGAGGAGGAGCCCAGCCCTGCACACAGCAGTCCTGGTGTTGTACAGGTGGGGTGGGGGGCTGTGGGGGGCTGTGTGTGGTTGTGTGGGGTTGTGGGGACTGTATGGGGTTGAGTGGGGCTGTATGGGGCTGTGGGGGGCTGAGTGGGGCTGAGTGGAGTTTTGAGGCTTGTATGGGGCTGAGTGAGGCTGAGTGGGGTGGTGTGGGGCAGTGTGGGGCTGTGGGGTCTGCATTGGGCTGTGTGGGGCTGAGTGGGATGGAAGTAGGTTTGTGGGGTCTGTATGGGCTTGAGTGGGGCTGTAGGGGGGCTGAGTGGAGTGGTGTGGGGTTGTGAGGTCCGTATGTGGGGGCTGTGTGGGTCAGTGTGGGGTCTGTATGGGGCTATATGGGTCAATGTGGGGCTGTGTGGGGTCTGTATGGGGCTGTATGGGGCAGTTTGGGGTCTGTATGGGGCTGTATGGGGCAGTGTGGGGCAGCGTGCCCAAGCTGCTCACGGAGCAGCGTTCCCTGGGGCCCCACACCGTGGCTGCAGCCCTATGGATGCTCCCCCCGCCCGCCCCAGGCCGCCCCCTCTCCTTTTCCCCCGCAGAGCACGGAGCGCCCCCCGGACGGACGGACATCCCCGGCGGACAGCCGCGCTCCTCCAGGCGCCGCGCTCAGCAGCAGCTCCTCCATCTCCAGCCTCAACTCCTCCACGGTGCGTCGCGTTTTGGGTGCGGGTCCGTGCGGTTGCCGGCGCTCCAGACCCCCGTCGCTGATCCCCCCTTCGTCCCCCCGCAGCTGAGCGGCAGCCTGCTGAGCCTCTACAGCGACTGGGAGCTGCGCCGGGTGCCGGTGCGGGGCTGCGTTCAGTTCTCACTGCGTTACGAAGCGGCCGCTCAGGAGCTGCGGGTGCACGTGGTGCGGTGCCGGCATTTGGCCGAGGCCAAGAGGCAGCGCTCCGACCCGTGAGTGGGACCGCGACCCTCTGCGTGTCCCCCGGCCCCCCAACCCCACCAACGGCATCCCCGCCGGCCGCAGGTACATCAAGACCTACCTGCTGCCCGATAAATCCAACCGCAGCAAGCGCAAGACCTCGGTTCGGAAGCGGAGTTTGGACCCCGTCTTTAACGAGACCCTGAAGGTGCGTTTGGGGTCGGGGGGTCCCGCTGTGCCCCCCTCCCTCCCCACCCCGGTGGCACCGGCTTCTTTCCTCCCCCGCCCCCCCCCCCCCGCAGTACAACGTGCGCAAAGCGGAGCTGCGGGGCCGGACGCTGAACGTGTCGGTGTGGCACCACGACGCGTTGGGTCGGAACCTCTTCCTGGGGGAGGTGGAGGTCCGGCTGGGAGAGTGGGACTGGGCCAACACGCAGCCCGAGTGGTTCGACCTGCAGCCCCGCGTGAGTCCTTCGTGCAGCCCCATAGCCCTGCCCCCTCCCCACCCCATAGCTCCCCATAGGCCCGCTCCCTTCCCACCCCATAGCTCCCCATAGGCCCGCTCCCTTCCCACCCCATAGCTCCCCATAGGCCCGCTCCCTTCCCACCCCATAGCTCCCCACAGCCCTGCCCCCTCCCCACCCCATAGCTCCCCATA